TACATTCATACATACATACATACATCGTATTCTACAGTAGTTCTACTGCGTTACAGTAGTTCTACTGGGTTGCCCTGCTTTTTCTATGGCTCTATGGCGAATTCCCTCAAGGCTTGGTGTGGTCCTACATGGCGGCAGGACTTAAACACCCTAGGAGCTCTTCATGGGTTTTGGGAGCAGCCTCGGCTAGCACGTTGCGATTGCGAGGTACGGCCGGTGTTTCGGCGGGGCTTTCGGCGGGGGAATGTGGGGCTGGGGATGAGGTCTCACAGATCCTCTGGATCTGAGTTTAGGGCTTCGGCGGGGCTTTAGAGCTTCGGGCTTGAGGTTCAAATCCCTACGGGGAACAGGCACCAGTAAGAATACCGGCCCTGGGCCCGCGGCTTCTTGTCGCCGAACATCGACGCACAACCGGCTGCATCGTCATCACCTGGCACGGGTTAGGGGCTCAGCGTTTGGGTAGGGCCTTGCGGTTTAAGTTTAACCTGCCTTCAGAAGAGGAGCATTTAGGAACTACTGTATTCGGGCAAGGGCAGAACATCAACACGAGGATCCAAGTAGGGTGAACATTTGCAAGCCTCAATCTAGTAAACTTATAAAACACTATTAGAACCCGAAAGTGGCAGGCCTAACTTCTGCCGAGTCCACTAAGCTTCCCCTGACAATACATGAGCTGAATGCCTCTGTGCAGCTCGCTGGCGCCATTCTTTCGTATGTACAGTCTAGACTTCAGGGCCTCAAACACGGAGATTCAGTTGGCTGGGTGAGAAACGTGGTACACGCTTGGGGGGGCGGCGGGTATTGGATGTGAGAAGTGGGGTTGGCCTACACTTTTTGCTCTTGTTAGCGCGGTAACCCATATGCAGCTGACTGTCATCTTGAGCCCAAGCTTGGCCGGCCGTTGGCTTCCAACTCAAAGGTGAAGAAGTCAGTGCAAACCAAGGCACATCTCAGAATCTCCCTCTGCCATATCTGCATTGCAAGGCAGCCGGTGACTTTTGCATTTTAGCGATCAGACTCATTGCAGTGCATTAGCTTCGTTAGCTTCCTGTGAACGGAAGCGCTGGCTTTGTGTGGCCGGCACGCGCACCTCGGTAGAGCATCCCGTGGAATCCATAGCCACAGGCGCCACTGCTGCTGCGGGACGTGTACTTGTTTACCAGTGATGACCACCCGCATCACGAGAACCCTCGCAACTAAAAACACTCAACAGACGACTGCGTGGTGAGGATACCAGCAACCAACGATAACCACCGACAAAAAGCAACAGCAAACAAAGAGGTACGAAACACAAAAAACGCAACATCAAACAGTAACAAGAACAACGAACAACAACACGAAACACAAAGAGACACAAACTAAAGAACAAAACAAACAACCGGACAAGCCGACAGACATGCAGACACACAGACACATAGACAGACAGACAGACAGACAGACAGACAGACAGACTGACAGACAGACAGACAGACCGACGGACAGACAGATAGACAGACAGACCGACCGACAGACAACAGAGAGACAGACAGGAAAACAAAAACAACAAATAACAACAAACAAGTATGCAAGTAATCACGCACAACGAAACAACAAACAAAAACTAAAAGACACACAGAACAGCCTGCAAGCAGCCACAAACAGCAACACGACCGCACAAACTGCAACAACACTCACATCAACACAATCAACATCATCAACATCATCATTCATCAATTTCATCATCATGATCAACAACAACAAAAACAAATTTGCAGCTGAACGCTGGGCGAGCGGACTCCACGCTAAGCGGGCAATTACCGCGCTGGCACTCATGCGTGAACCCGAAATAAAAGGACTAGATATTGCATGACTACTTGGCCTCTGGGCTCTGCTACTTTTGTTGGCTCTGGGACCGATCCACGTTATGCTGCTCCGTACGGTTTCCGCCGACAAGCACTTGAGGCGATCTGACCCGTCTCCACCGTGCAGGGTTGCCTGCGACGGCTGCTCCGTATCCCGGAGGACCGACGAGCACATGAGAGGGCAGAAGGGCCTCCACATAACAGGACCACGGTCGAGCTCAAAGAAGATGTACCTGACAGATATCTGCGATGCCAAGACTACTCAGCTTGAGCAGTTTGGGCTCCACTCGTTCGGTCTGGCATGGAGACTCTTTTTCAACTGGGCAGACAGTGCAAGCGCATCAAGGACGACAGCGAGTGTCGCGTTGGTCACAAAGGCGTGCGCATCTGCATCTGCATCTGCATCTGCAGGCCGAGCCACCGCGATGCACATGGTGACACAGCCCGAGGCTCCGTGCTACCGCTACCAGGCAACAGCAACAACAACGACAACAACAACAACAGTAACAGTTGCAATTGAACGCTGCGCGAGCGGACTCCACGCTTGGCGGGCAATTACCGCACTAAGCACTCACCTGTTGCGAAGCCGACTGGTATAGCATGACTGAAAATGCTCAGTTGCGCCAACTCCAGGAGCTTGATGAAGAAGCTCCCCACGTCTCAGCTTTGTCCCACCAGCTTGGGTTTGACCATTGGCGGCGAGACCAGCTAGATTCCTCCTTCTGCTTTTTGTCAGTAAACGGCTCGGCCGCTTCAGATTGGCGTTTATCCGGACGAAGATAACGTTGCTTCGCCAGAGTGTCACCAAGTCTGTGGTCGATGCGGAGCTTCCGGACCGCATTGCCGTCTTTGTCCGGCTGGAAGATGATCATGCGGTTGATGAGGCCACATGATCGGCTTTACCGTGGAGGCTACGATCTCGAAGTTGTCATCCGTCTCCAGGATCTCTTCCATCTCAGGCTGGTCCCAGAGGCCCCTGAAGAGTGCACCAATGAGGCCGAAAAAGCCGGTGATGAGGGGGAGCTCGCGATATTCGTTGCCATGGCCCAGGGCGATGGTAAGCAGCCCATCCGGGCCGTCAATAGGTCGCGCCGTCATAGTGTCGGCCCAGGTCGTGTTAACCCCCGTGGAGGCCTTGAGAATGGGGGCCAAGACCCAGGGTGGCTTCTCAAGGATCTTGATTCTGTTCTGCCTTCTCATTAATGATCAAGATAGTGGTGAGAGCGTGGACCCACTCAAACATGTGGTCCGAGTGGCAGACCTGAATGAGTCTGTCCCGCTTGGGAATGGCAGCTTCCTGTTCCTGCAGGGACAACAACAACAGCAACAGCAACAGCACAACCTCGACCTCAACCTCAACCTCAACCTCAACCAACAAAAGCTCACGACCGCAACCACAACCAACAAAAAAACAAACAAACACAATAAAATAATGTCATGAACAACTATAGGATTAATCATGATATCTGGCCTTCGCCACTGCGAGCATGGCCGAAGCCAGCAATTGCTCCCCGGAGATCATGGCGCGCTTGAGCATCATGTCCTTGTCAGAATGGAGCTTTCGAAAACGAGGTAATCATAATTTAGGATTCTACATCAGGGTGCCCAATTTTTCGGAACTTTGAATGGATTTAAGGTGCATGTCGGGGTTTAGGGGTTTATGTTGGGCTTTAGAGTTTAGAGGTGTAGGGTTATGGTTAGGGGTTTTGTTTGCGTGGGCCTCAGATGGACATTAGTTTAAAGTAAACCGTAAACCCTCCTAGGTTTCGGCCCGGACCTCTCTCGTCAGGACGGCCGCGCAGCTGTCATAAGACAAGCACATGCAGAGAAACTTCGTGAGAATCGGCGATGGGGTGGTACGCACCTGGACGGCTCAATGGCCCGAGGCAGAAGGTATACTCAGAGCGAGGTATATGGAGAAAGCCAAGGTGGGCTTCAGAACCCTGGGGAGGCTTGACTATCGAAGGAGTGTTGATCGCATCATTCCACCGCCTCCACCCGCAGCAGTACCCATGAACCCTGAATCTTAGGGGAGTCAATTTGGGCAGAATGCGCCTCGTGGGTGTGGGTGTTGCCCATGTGCCTTGGTCCGGCAACGATAACCAGAACTCTTTCGAGAATTCGATCGGTTTAGGGCACCGGTAACCCCCGGAGTCCTAGATCCCAAATGCTGAGCCATAGTTCCCAAAGTAATAGCTCATCTCCCAAACAGCCTTGATGCCCTTAACACTCTGATCGATTGTCCCAAGCGACTGGGATGCCACGGTCTGGAAGAGACGCGCCAGCTCGCGATCGCTAGAAAGCTGCTCTGCCAGCTGCAGCACCTCAGTGTACAGCGTTTTGGCTTGCACTTTAGCTTCTACCAGCTCGGATTTAGGGTTTCCATGTTCAGGTTTTCTGGTGCAGAGTTTAGGGTCTGGCATTGAGACGGTTTGGAGCTTATAAAGTCTATCGTGCACAAGGTTAATTCAGGGTTTTGAGGGCCATGGGATTACAGATGTAGGTTTTAAGGCTTCCGGGCTTGGAGTTTGAGGCTGTCAGGTTGTTGCACGCGGTCCCGATGGCCTATAGGTTCCGGATTTCAGGCCTCTCGGAGATCGCAGAACGGCCTCAAGGCACATGTCCTTAAACCTCCCATGACAGGTGTAAGTGTAGTGTAGTGCAGTGTAGCGTAGTGTAGTGTAGTGAAGGAGCCGTTATCAAAGTAAAGGCATACTGGATGATCTCGGTGGCATAGAAGGAAACATGTTGTTGGTCGTAGTTGCGGAGTTCTGTGCGCTTCGGGCTTGAGGGTTGAGGCTTCAGTTCTAAAGCCCACAATGCATACCATAAAAGCAGGCCAGCAGGAGCCTTATCGTTGGCTCGAAAAACCTCTCTGAGCACCCTAAGATCGTTGTTGTTGCTGAGGGTTCATAGGGGCTGAGCTGGCCGGAGAAACAGGGTCCCTCCCAACAACCCTCCGATCGGACGTTGCCCCACTGCGGCCCTAGAAACTCGGATTAGTGTGTCTAGGATGAGGAAGCAACAAGTTCCAGATCCTAGCCGTCCTAGCCTTGAGCACGCAGCTTCCCGCCTCCTTGTTGAAGCGCTCAGCGACCCTCTGGCAACAGTGGAGGCTGCTCTGACCTCTCAGCTCCTCTGCCATGCCTCAGATGCGTGCAGTTTGGCGACACGCCGCATCTTTCCACCTCGAAGTAGTCAAGACTCCCGTTTAGTTGAATTTGAACCCCACGCAACACGCGAGAAATTGCACAACCTCCGTTTGGAGCTACAAGGGGCTAACGCGTTATTGCCTAGGGTTTATAGGGTTTATCCTGCGCCTTACCATTCGGGCGCACACCCGCCAAGACTCCAAATCTCGAGGCTACGTACCAACCCCGGCCTAAGCCCTTAGCCCCCAAATCCTGCCACCAGGAAGCCCAGAGGATTGGCTGAAAAGCATGATAAGATCCCAGAGCCATTAAAAACAAGACATCCGTAAAATCCTGAGAGCCCTCTAAGCCCTAAACACCCCGAAACACCTGACAACCCTAAAACAACCCCAGGACCCGAACTGCTGCAAACTAGCCCCTCGGTGCCCTCGCCCCCGGCCCCCGTGGCTCGGACCCAGGAATTCCAGAAGCGGCTTGAGCCGCTCGCTGGCCCAGCTTTGCTCACGGAGCACCTCCGGGCTTTAAAGGGTTTCATGAAGTTTGTAGGTGCTTTGTAGGCATACGGCTTTAGACGGTATGTTCGGGGCCATGGCTGATGTGGAACCCCTCATAGAGTTTTGGAGTCCGGTACGGTTTGGGATTTCGGTGCTGCTTTAAGGCTCCTTTTTCCGACGTGCCCAGTCCTTCGAAACAACCCTTCAAGTACTGCCTCCGATGCAAATGGATCCTGCTTAAGTACACCCTAGGGTTTCGGCTTGGATACTTCTCTGCCCTGACTTCCCGACATTGGGGACGGCATGGGGATTCCTGCTTGTACGGGCTTTTGTTGAATATATAATGTAGGAGCCTTAATAATTAGAACATGGTTTTGGGGGTTCCTCATTATGATTATGGTATAATGGGCCCCAAAACCCTATTCTAATTATTAAGGCCCATACATTATAGCCTTGGGGTTCAGCTCCTTCTCGCCCGCTGGCGGCACGCGTCGGCGCTGCGCTGCCTTGCCTTCAGCTCTTTGAAGCAAAGCTGGCATTTCGGAATTGGAGATTTCGGGTCTAGGGTTTGACAGAGTTTAGGGTTTAACAGCCTGGTCCCAAAATTTACAACCCATCAATACCGAACTCGGAGAACACCAAAACACACACACACACACCTCTCTTTACTATCGCCTTTCCGTTGGTTACCTACCTGCCTATCTAGCATTCTCCATCTTGTCCGGCGGCAGTGTAATGCGCCGGTGTCATGTACAAACTGCCTGTGGACCTGTTTGCTCTGAGGCAAAGCCTGTTGGCTGAAGAACTGGTTTTCCGAAAGTGGATGCAGGCGCACAAACTAGAGTCCAACGTCCATGGCACACAGCTACTTGGAGGCTACACAGCTACTCGTCAGCGACTGCGTCCACTCAAGCTCTAATTTTGGCATTGTTGATAGCTTATATCGAAGCTTCCTTCCAATCGCCTCGCATGCACGAGGTAGACGAGACTCTGAACCCCAGAGTGCAGAGGGAATCGAGCTGCAGGCACCAATGCGAGTGCAACTGATTGATGTGATACCCACCATGGAGGCATCATCGCATCTAGGGTAGTCTTGCAGGTTACTGAAGACAGCGTTGACCCCACTCAGTGTCTGACCGCTTTGAAGTAGTGTTGGGTTCGAGTGGGATGCGCTGCGATTCTGCGGCGACGCATCCGGGGAGGAGTCTCGGGTGAACTGCCCCGGCTGCTCGAAGCTCTTGGCTGTTGGCACCGCCTTGTAAGGTGGCTCTTGCTGGAGGCTGGGGGGGAGTTGTGGCCTGGACTGCGTCGGCGCTGCTTTGAAGGGCAGGGCCGGGGCCGGAGAAGCGATCGGCAGAAATGGCGCGGCGGATTTCGCCATCCCGGAACCTTCCGACATCTGAGGGTAGGTGGGCGAAGATGCTTTGGGGATTGCGATTTATGGGTTCTTTAAATGAGCTTTGGTTTTTTACAACCAAAATCTAAAGGAAATTAATCGCCTTTCCGCAAAACCCTTCCGCATCCCTGCCGCCGTGCGAAACGGTGCTTCCGCGCGGCTCTTGGAACCATTTGCTTCCGCAGAGCCCTTCCGCAGCGTGTTTTCGCTATGTCGCGCTATCTTTCCTTCCGCGGGTGCTGTTTTAGTCTTTGTGCGACCCGTTTTTGGAAGCCATACAACATGTGGGGCTGTATATTAACCCCGTTTTAAAATCCTTATCCCATGCTCATTTAATGAGAGGGAAGCTGCTGCAACCTTGACCCGTCGCTGTGGACTTGACGGCTCTACAAGACCCTTATGTAGCACATACCATTATATGTTACGTACTACAGATCCAATGCACACGTTGTATAGTTTCTCTTAGTTTCCCATTAAGGGAGTTAGAGCCCTGTGAGGTGAGGCTTGGGAGAGTGAACCGCTTCTCAACATGGCGACTGCAACTCTAACCCCAAAACATGTTTACACCATGCGTCAACCTAAGGGTGTTCGGGGATTTACCAATGCCTATAGTTTGGGTCCTCATTATGCGCGGTGAAACTATTGCAAGAAGACCGTGTATCTTGTCGCGTCTGTTCTTTGTCCGGGTTTCCTGTGATCCTTTGCAGGTACGTCTTAGTGCGATTGCAGGGCGTGCCTTGGGCTAACGCCCGGCTTCTGAACAACTCAGCAGCAGCATGACCTGTACAACACCATCATGTGCACGTCTTCTTGCACGTGACATGCCACGGCATCGATTCGATATAAGGGTTCCCGGTTCAGCATTCAGCATCGGGCTCCCATCAATCATTCCCATGCGTGGCTGAATTGGTTACTAGATGTACTAGATGATCCGGGACATTCCATCTGGACCCAATCTCATTAAAGAGTTCAACCCAGGTGTTGCATGAACTAGGACCCTAAACCCGACAGCCCTAAAAAGCGCCGCGAAGCAAGTGTCCACATTCCAAGTATCTGGCTCATACTCTGGGGCCTGCCTCGTTCAACCTGACGCCGCCAGAACTGAAACCCTACCCCCAGACCTCAAGCACTAAACCCCAAGGTTCTCAACCGCCCAAAACAGGAAACCCTCAAATCACTCAAAGCCTCATAACCTGAAGCCCCAAAACCCCGAAAGCCCTCAAGCCCCGAAATGGACCAAGGAACTCCCTCCGTGCTTCGCATCTTGCTCCGCTTCGCCTATTATGCCAGGCCCGCTCCGCAAAGGACGTCAGGTTTGGGGTTTAAGGTCAGTTTAGAGGTTTTTAGAGTTTGGAGCCTGGGAGCTGGGATTCTGTGCCTCGGGTGTCGGGTCCCGACGATGTTGGGTTCAGGGATTACGCCGCTGGAATACTGCTCCGAGGCGTGTCCCATGAACATTTGGCTCCTGTGACTGTAGCATCATGGAGTCCACCACCCCGTCCCCCACCCCCTCCCCCGTCGTACGCCGAGGCTGTTGATTGGGAGGGGGTGGGGATGGGTTCGAGGTTTGGGGTGTTGAGCCTTTGGAGACTAAGTTTGAGGAGTCTCCTGCGTTAAGCCTTGAGTTCTTCCAGTCCTCGGTTTACATAAAGCCTCTAAGGCTGTTGGAGAGACACTCTCATCTGAGGCTTGCAGTTTATGGCAGCTCAGCGGCTAAGGGTTTAAGGACTTTGGGATTTTCGGGTTGAGGGCTTCCCGATTCCCGATGGACCCCCAACAAGCATTCGCACGAGCCTGAGCAGCGCTGACCTTCTCCCAGCCAGCTTCCTGCGCAGACTTGTCCGATTTAGGACTTCAGGCCGGAGTTCGCCCCTGGAAGCCCTACGTCGGAGATTGAACCCGCACACCAACGCTCAGCCACACAAAAAGTCCTCCTTCAAACCCTGTTATGAACCCTAAACCACCAATTTCCGAATGAGGGTAAAATCAAGGTTTTATCTTATTTTTGCAGGGGTTGTCAACCAAATAGTACCGGCTCCAGAAGGATTCAGAAGGAGTTCTTCAAGCAAGCTGGAGGCTTGTTGTTTGTTAGACGGTGGTGTCTCTGGCTCAGCCCCCTTGCCGGGGCTCGCATGCCCTCAGAGTGCGATCCCTACCGTCTAAATGCAACGACAAGCATTTTGGTGTTCAGAGCTCAGGATTTGAGGTAGGAGTCTGTGTCAGACAACCCATGGCAGCTGTTGGAGCTTGCTTGCAGCTTAGTTACTTGAAGGTGGGCTTCGACGTACCAGCCTTGGGGGTTGTTCTGGAGTGGGTGTTCTTCAGCAGAAAATAGAAAGCTAGACCAACGTCTCGTCCCTCGGAGCGCTTTGCTGTGAAGCTGGTGGGGAGTGGCCTTCCGGGTCTCATCTGGGGGGGTTGGGGTTGAACCCTGAAGGCCCACAGCCGGAAACCTGCAAAAACTGCTGACCCCCAGAGCTGCGGCCCTGAAACCCCCCCCCAAAGCCCTAAACCCTAAAGACCTCAGAAATGAACAGAAGCCCTCCAGCCCGACCTGCTCCTTGGGCTTGATGCGTGGATGTGGATCTCCATCCTCCAGGAATACCCCACCGAGTAGTTGCAGTGGATGGGTTCGGGCTTGAGGCACAAAGCTTTAGGGCCTTTAGATGGTTGAAGGTTCAGGGTTGAGTTTGCAGTTTGCAACCATCAGATGGGTAACTTTGGCACAGATCGAAACCAAAAAGCAGGAACGGACTCTGCTGCACCATCGGATGTTTACCACCCTTAACTCTCAGACCCAATTCCCCAAAAAATCCTGCAGCCCTACAGCCCTAACCCCAAACAACCCCTACAGCCCTTTTACCCGCAAACCCTGGAGCCTCCCAGACCTAGAAGCCCTCAAAACCCGACCTGCTCCTTCAGCTGCATGTGCGGATGCAGACTTCACTCCTCCAGGAATACCTAGGCAGAGGGGTACGTGTTTAAGGTACAACAATTTGGGGTCCAATGTTTCGCACCCTTGCATAGTGCAAGAGTCAAGGTAGCACCCTTTTTGGGCCTAAGGGTGCATGCAACAGTGGAACCCCGACACAGGTCATGGGGACAGAAACCAACCTACACCCCTCAACCAAAAACAAACTTGACCGAAGCCCGTCAGGAGTCCCCTGACAAGCCTAAGTAAGATACCAGAGATTCATCACACGAACCCTGGAGTGCCACGGCCTTCAGCAGTCTGGCAAAAACACGTCATCCAGAAAGCCGTACAAGCCCAAAACTAAAAAACAAAATGACATGCTCTCTTGCCCGGCCCACATGGAGGTCAAACAATGCTCGATCTCCGAACCGCCAGCCTCTCATCACCCAAAGGAGGCCCAGTCTAGACCGCTACAGTGTCCCAGAGACTCCTTGATTAACCCTGACAAGCCCAAAAAGAAGCTACTGCACCAAGCCTGAGCCGAAACCCCACAGTCCCTATAAACCCTAGCAAGAAAGGATAATATACCCACAACAGAGCCACGATGCCCTCAGCGGCGGCTGGCTGTGGCAGCTTTGGAGGGCTGGGCTTGGCTGTGGCTTTCGCTGCGGAGGGCGCTGTGGGTTTCGCAGGGGCGCTTGCCTCAGATGCTGGTGGCTCTGGTGGCGTAGCCTTTTGCAGCACCGAGTAGGGCCCGGCAGGTTTGGCGGGTGCCGAGGGCTTAGCCTCTGCAGGCTTCGCTGGCGCAGCGGTGGTCTCGGGTGGCGGTGGTGGGCTTGGTTTGGCGGCTAGAGTGGGCTTTGCGGGTGGCGTGGTCTGGGAGGGGGGTGCTGGGGGGGCTGGCTTAGCAGGTGCAGCGGCTGTGGGTGCGGGTGCAGATGTGGACTCGGGTGGGGGTGCTGGTGGCTTCGGCTTGGCAGGTGCTTCTGCTGTGGGCTTTGGGGGTGCAATTGCCGCTTTGGCGACTGATGTGGCTGGTGGGGTTGCTTTTGGCGCTGCTGCTGTGGATGGTGACGGGCAGGGTGTTGGTGGCGGTCGCTTGGCAGGCGGGTTGAGCGGCAGCATGTCCGGTGGGGGATCTGCCGAAGCTCGAGGCTGTTGCCACGCCTCCTTCATCTCGCATCGTCGCCCGTGCATCGGCTTGTGGCCAGCTATGTAGGCCTGACGCAGATTTGGAGTTGAGGGCTTCGGGACCTCAAATCTCGAACAAAGGATCCACCGAATGGAAGGTTTGAGCAGTTAAGGCTGTACTCTCCATAGACAAAGTCCTTCTGCATTATCCATGACAAGGAATACACCATGATCTCCGTAGCTTAGGGAGTCTCATGGTGTAGGGCGGCTGAGGTAATTCGCGATTGTGTCTGTCGGGTTCTGCTTCTCCTCGCCGCTTTTGCCGCGAATCGGAGATGTTCACCGTGGCCAAGACGTAAGGCGGTACTCCCAAACAGGAGTCGGGTTGGTGGTTTAAGATATCTCGGGAATGCAAAACCCGTGACAGTAGAAGCCCAAAAGTTGGAAACTCAATAGCCCCAATCCTTAAGAGTAATGTATAGGGAATCCCGCCACTACTTGTCCTTAATCCGGCTTCCAACTTTGTGGGGGTTTACCTATAATCAACAATCAAGACGAACTCAAATTATGGTACTGGCCCCTCAAAATATAACGTATAACGTTAGCATAGCTTCATTTAAGGGGAGGGTTTTGGGGGCTCTTCGCGGTTCGTTGGAGAGGGCTCCGGGCATGATGCTGTAAAGGGGTTAGGGTTTAGGGTTTAAGGTTTAGGGTTTAGGGTTTAGGGTAAACCTTGTAACTACGTCGCTATCATACTCAAAAAACCACTAGTTAGGAGGGTCTTGGATCTGCAAGGCCATGCAATGCTTCGAGTCTTTAATATCCTGATCCTCCAAACGTATACCCTGTACTCCAAATCCCTAACCGCTAAACGATAGAAAGGACCGCACACTGCCACCCTTGAAGCAACTGGTGCTCAGGCTCATGCGTAGTGCCCTCAAGCAGCACCTTACTTTAACCCATCTAGTGGTTGGATGCTTGAGTCGTAGACTCCCGAGCCCCGACAAGCATGCAATGGAAACCACAATGATCTCGGTGTCACTACCCTGCGACATTCCTCCATAGGCCAACCCTGCACTCCCTGTTTTTGGCGAAATAGGTAGTTCTCTACACCTTATGTCCCTTGTCGGAACCGTACAAGAAGGGCAATTTGCCAACCCTAAACCTTGAGCCTATACTGTACAGCCTAATAGCCCTCCAAAACCCAACCTCTAGGCGAATTTCCACTCCTTCGCTTCCTGCATGCAGTATGATTTTTTTTGAAGAGTAAAGCCTCCAGAAAAGGTGAGAGAAGGGCCCGACTGTCGGGTTCCAGGAAACCCCTGAAACCGAAACTCCGACAACTCGAAACCCTCAACGAGCAGTCGGTGGTCGCACTTGTGGGGATGCAGATCGGGGGAGGGGTTGTTTCGGACTCGGACTTAAGCTGGGCTTAAAAAGGAATGGGGGTTTAGGTTTAGGGCCTGTAGGTACTATCGGGCTTGACCATGTAGGAGTGCACGTTTAGGATTGCAGGCCTGGCCTCATAGCAGCGCTTGCAGCAGAATCCCCCTGCCCAGCCCCCCTCTGCCACTTTGTACCTGGGCTCGGGTTGGTGGAATTTTGGGCGCTCGGCCGGGACTCCCTACTGATACAGCGGCCTAAAAGGGGATACTAGTGGTATCCTCATCAGACTAAACCCGAAGAGGTTGAGCTGGTCATAATAGGGCCGGAGTAAAGGCCAACATCCTATACATTTACGGAAACAAACAATTGGAATGTGACCCAAAGCGGGCAGGCTGGAATACCAGTGTGGGGAGAGGCCAAAGAAGCGAAATTGGGTCTTGGAGGCAGTGGGGTGCATAGACCAGATTCTTTGATCGTACTAGTATATTCCACCTGCATTGAACTAGATGTTATACAGTTATGCAGTAACTGTAACTCAAGAGTAGGACGGAGGCTTATCGCAAATTGCGGAGGCTCCTGCATTGCTAAAGCAACTAGGGCTTCACGATCCTCATGGCTTGGAGTTTTAGCAAGCTTTTCGATTGAAATGCCACCCCGTGCGCATAAATGTAAACGGTAGCTACAGAAGCCTAAATCTTCCACGATAGAGCAGGACTGCTTACTTAGCAGAGCCACAAACACTCATCACAAACTATTTCCGCCCAGACGCGTGCATTGTGGGTGCGCGCACATCTGAATCTTCTCGGCACTGCCATAATTACCATAGTTGCTCTGTCCATAGTACCAGCTTGGGTTGTTGTTCCAGCCGGACCACGCCATCACTATTTCTTGACGACGTAGTGATGAAACACAGGATTGCGAATTGCTACATGCCATGTTCCCTTCTGCTGTGCCCGGCTGTGCCTTAGTGTCATGACAAAGATACCAGACTAAAACTGCAACACAATCTTGGATTCCACTTCTCTACTTCTCCTCAACAACAACACAGGTCACTGGGCCGTACCTGGGAGCAAGGACGCGAGGGTGAGATCCGTCTGTATGGCAATGTAATTTCGGTGCAGTTGTATTCTGGTGTTCCCCCAGTATGGCGTTTTGTTTCCTGATGTTCTGGTGATTGTTAGGTTTTAGTTCTTTGGAGTTGCCATTTTCGATGCCGGCTTTGTGGTTTCATGGGGACGAGCTTTCGGCCAATGGTTTCGGGACTGCGGTGCGTGAACCCCCAAATTCATGGATGGCGTTCTTAGACCCATTTCGGCTGTGTTTGTGGTCTGCCGGGCTCCAGATTTGTGGTTCTGAAAAATCCCTAAACGCCCTAATTAAACCCCTAAAGCCCTAAAGCCCTAAACCCCTAAAGCCCCATAGCCCTAAACGCGCTAAACCACTGCAGTCTGCTCGGGGTATCCCGTCCAAACATAAGGCGGGTCGGAGCTGGAAATGTTTCACGTCGGCTACGTTTGACCCTTCTGCTAAACATGTGTATCATTGTGGAGTCGCCTTTTCGTCTCCCCAAGATGTGTACAGTGTACAACAGACATGTTTGTCGCTTGCGCCGGCACGGTCCCTAGCGCTTGCACTTTTGGCTTACCTTTTGCTGCCTCGGCAGAAGTGCTTCGCCCGAACTTTCGTCCGAAGTGTCTCTGTGACCGCATGCATAAACGTCGTGAACCCCTAAACCCCTAAACCCCTAAAACTCCTAAAACCCTAAACCCTAAACCCCTAAAACCCCGAAACCCCTAAACCCCTAAACCCCTAAACCCTAACGGTTCACACCTTGGACTTCAAGATCATCGATCGCAAGCCGGTCGGACTCAAGAGAGGCGTCTAAGCTGGCACTGAAGACGCCTCAAGCCCAAACCCTCAATCCAGACCCAAAATTGAAGGAGCTGACTGCAACCCTGATATCTCAAAAAACAAGAAAACACACACAAAACTAGCTCTTAAATCGATCAACCCCAAGACCGGAACCCCCCCCCCTCCCCAGACAACAAAGATGTTGTTCTCTGAGCATTGGCTAGTCGGCTGGCAGCGCCCTACTCGGGTCCAGTGACGCGACCTGAGGCAAGGAGACATTATAATGTAGGAGCCTTAATGATGAGAATAGGGTTTTGGGCTCATTTGTAGCATAAGTACAGTAAGGAACCCTAGGGAATAACATTGGTAGTTGTTTAGGCCTCTATATTGGACAAAACCACGCAACCCCGGGGGTCTTATACCTAGGGTTCTTTTAAGGTTGGGGTTCCTTTCACAGAGGTCTAGAAAGGTTTAAAAAGGGGGCGACTAACGGTCCCTGATCTATCTTAGATGCGTTTCTAGAAGGCTCTTGAAGCGTTCTGTAAAGGTTCTTTGGGGAGTGCTCTGTCTTGTGGTTTATACTTATGGGCTTTCAGACAACAGACGTGCCTTGTTTCGGGGGCCCCAAAAGTCAGGATCCTAGTATCAGGGTCAATAGAGCCCCCCTTCGCCTCCAAGAGAGTGCTTCCTTCCACATTGTAGAAGGAAGCAAAAGGACTGGAAGAGGTTGCAGTGCGTTGTACGACGGGATCAGGCTTCGTCTTCGGAGCACTTTACAACTACGGCCCATGACGATCATACACGAAGCATGTTTCCCTACCCTTGCGGTTTTCTCATCCCTGACACCTAACCGCTAAACTTTAAACCCTCAACCCTCTACCCGCTAATCCCTACTTGTAACAGACTCTACCACATTCTGCCCCCCCGTCCTCACCAAAAAAATGCAGAACTGTCGAAGGCGGCCTCGCATGCCAAAGGCCAACCTTCCAAGCAGCTTCCGGGGTTTAGGGTTTAGGGTTCTGGGGCGTTTTAGGACTTTAGGGCTTGTCAGGGATTAGGGCTCAAGGCGTTTAAGGCTTTTAGGGCTTTCGAGGTTTAGGATTTAAGTCCCTTTAGAGCTCTTAAGGCTCTTAGGGCTTCTCAGGGTTTAGAGGTTCAGGATTCAAGGCTTTTGGAGCCCCTTGGGCTTTTAGGGCTTCAGGTCGACGTGCTGCACGTCTTCAGCTGACCCTGCGCAGGCATTACTGTCGCCCCCCGCCAGCAATACACCAGGTCACAACAGATCTGCGAGAACGGCAGCAAAAGCACCGCCTTTTGCTTGTACTTGAACTTTGCTTCTGTAAAGGCAGCCAAACCCTGGCGTCTACGATCGCTGCACATCCATCCAGAAAATGCCGTCGAATGGGCACAGGTTCTTCTAACATCCCGCCACGTTCATCCAAGTCTACTTGCGTAGAACCTGCTTTGCCACGGAGCGGTCCAACTTCCAC